CACTTTTATTTTCTTTTAAAACTTGATTTCGTAGCTAAACCTAATCGTTCATTATCTGGTGAAACTGGAGTTGCTAGGGCCAAATGGATGAATATCAATATCAGCGATCACTTGTATGTTCTACTAAAATTCGATTTCGTAGTGAAAATCCAAAAGTTCATCTTTTGGAGCAACAACAGAAGCGCTAGGGCCAAAGGAAACAAAAAGCTAAAAAAAGATGAAACAGATTTCAGGCGAAACTAGAGATGCTAGGACCTTAAGGATGATAACACAGGGCAACAAATTTTTAACCCAGAGGTGTACTTTTCTAAAGGATTAAGCGAATCTAGCCTGGGAATTTCTCTATCACATCTGGGATTCGAGATATCGTGTCCTGAAGTTTGAAAAAGCCCTTTTTGGACCTTTTTGGGCGTTATAACAGCGTCAAGACAATTTTATGTATAAAATCTTCTATGTCATTTGAACGTCCATTCTGTCAACTTTTAAATAAGGTCTTAGCTTGTGACATATTTTCATAGTTCTTCGAGATATCTTCACCTATTAGAGGTTAGATTCTTATTCAGTGCTGCTCAATCCTTTATAAAAGTATAACTTGGTCTCAAGGTTTCGACTTTTTTCAAATTTTGTCGGCCTGGGTAATCTGTGATAACATTTATTTCCTACTATTTCCTCGATTTCGTGGTGGAAAATCTAAAAGATAACACAGACGCCGACAAATTTTTAACCCAGCGACCAAAGAACGACCAAAAAATATGTCAGAAGTAAAGCCTTTGTTTTAAAGTTCTGGCCAAGTATACGTTTGTTGAAAGTACGTTAGACCCGAAAGGTCAAAGAGCTAGGATCCTGTTTAGGCTCCTGGCTATAGTCACTTTACTCTCCCCAAGTATTCTAAAGAGTAGACACTTAGAAAAAGCTTTAGCGAAAAAGTTCATTGTCATGTATTGGTTCCTTGGATTAGCTATCAGAGAGACGATTGACTTTACATCGTTAAAATAGATAGTCACCTAGTGGTCGTGGTCGGTGACTAGTGGTCGGTGACTAGGGCCAAATAACTAGTTCTGGTCTGTCCCCCTCCTTGTATTTTTAATATTTTTAACATAACCCCCCTACGCCTCTGTCCTCCTATTATTAGATGATAAATTTTTCATAAATCTGTTGATTATGTTTTATGTGCAATTCATTCTTCTATCTATACATTTTCTCTCATTTCCCTAAAAGTCCTTTTAACCTAATATGCAACCACTGATTTGTGTTGTTGTGTGTTTTTATTATTTTTATTCTCTTAAAATTCTTCATTCTTAGTTCATTAACTACCTGCTGGTTATCCTTTTTCTACATTTGTATTTATCAGGATATATTTTGGCCAACTGTTAGAATGATACGGTTTTAGCATCAAATATTTAGTTTGCTTTTAACTCTCAACACAAACAGTTTGTTGCCCTAAAAGTATTCCAAATTTTGCTTTTAATATCAACTGCATTTTCATGTGCAAACGTTTTAGTGTATTATTTTGTATATTTGTGTGGCAGCGTTTCGGTCAACGGAAATTTTTGCCTTACAGTAAAAAAGGATATAGTTGAAATGATGCGTGTGTGTTCTGTTAACAAAAAATGTGAAATTTTTTTATTTTTGAAAAAAAAAAATTAAAAACAAGTGCATTTATGGAGTTCGTTTTTAACAAAAACTTAAAAAATATGTATTTGCTGTTGGTATGTTATTTTATAAATTTTTAAATAAATATACATTTTTCTATATAAAATAATAATAAAATGCCACTACTATTGTATGGAATTTTTGTTAAGCTGTTTTCTATTGATTGTGTACATTTCATTAACTTGTTATATATTTTTTCATATTTTTTTATTTTTTTGTTTGAATAACAATTGCAAGGATTGAGGAGTATGTTATTTCAATATTGTATTTTCTATAGAAAATCCTTTTTTAATTGAAAATAAAAATTCTATAGAAATTTATGACAAAATTTCGATTTAATAACGCGGTTTGTTAAACATTTCTTTGACTAAGGTCACATGCAACAATTTTTTTTATTATATAAAATATAAATTTTTATGGAATTAATTAATCTGTATCATGTTCCACTTTCGAATTTTGTAAATTTTGTGTTTTTATCAACAACAAATCTGTTAAATAAATGCCTAATTTGTAAACTAAATGCTGAACTAGAAATGAACTAGAAACTGAATAGAACAGAACTAGAACTGAAGTAGAAATGAACTAGAACTGAACTAGAACTGAACTAGAACTAGAACTGAACTAGAACTGAACTAGAACTGAACTAGTACTGAACTAGAACTGAACTTGAATTGAACTAGAACTGAACTAGAATTGATCTAGCATTAAACTAGAACTGAAATAGGTCTGAAGTAGGACTAACCTAGAACTGGACTAGAACTGAACTAGAATTGAAATAGAACTGAACTAGAACTGAACTAGAACTGAACTAGAACTGAACTAGAACTGAACTAGAACTAGAACTGAACTAGAACTGAACTAGAACTGAACTAGAACTGAACTGAACTAGAACTGAACTAGAACTGAACTAGAACTGAACTAGAACTGAACTAGAACTGAACTAGAACTGAACTAGAACTGAACTAGAACTGAACTAGAACTGAACTAGAACTGAACTAGAACTGAACTAGAACTGAACTAGAACTGAACTAGAACTAAGAAGCTGAACAAACTAGAACTGAACTAAAACTGAACTGAACTGAACCAGAACTGACACTAGAACTGAACTAGAACTGAACTAGAACTGAACTAGAACTGAACTAGAACTGAACTAGAACTGAACTAGAACTGAACTAGAACTGAACTAGAACTGAACTAGAACTGAACTAGAACTGAACTAGAACTGAACTAGAACTGAACTAGAACTGAACTAGAACTGAACTAGAACTGAACTAGAACTGAACTAGAACTGAACTAGAACTGAACTAGAACTGAACTAGAACTGAACTAGAACTGAACTAGAACTGAACTAGAACTGAACTAGAACTGAACTGAACTAGAACTGAACTAGAACTGAACTAGAACTGAACTAGAACTGAACTAGAACTAGAACTAGAACTAGAACTGAACTAGAACTGAACTAGAACTAAACTAGAACTGAACTAGAACTGAACTAAACTAGAACTAAACTAGAACTGAACTAGAACTGAACTAGAACTGAACTAGAACTGAACTAGAACTGAACTAGAACTGAACTGAACTAGAACTGAACTAGAACTGAACTAGAACTGAACTAGAACTGAACTAGAACTGAACTAGAACTGAACTAGAACTGAACTAGAACTGAACTCGAACTGAACTAGAACTGAACTAGAACTGAACTAGAACTGAACTAGAACTGAACTAGAACTGAACTAGAACTGAACTAGAACTGAACTAGAACTGAACTAGAACTGAACTAGAACTGAACTAGAACTGAACTAGAAGTGAACAGAATTGAACTAGAACTGAACTAGAACTGAACTAGAACTAAACTAGAACTGAACTAGAACTGAACTAGAACTGAACTAGAACTGAACTAGAACTGAACTAGAACTGAACTAGAACTGAACTAGAACTGAACTAGAACTGAACTAGAACTGAACTAGAACTGAACTAGAACTGAACTAGAACTGAACTAGAACTGAACTAGAACTGAACTAGAACTGAACTAGAACTGAACTAGAACTGAACTAGAACTGAACTAGAACTGAACTAGAACTGAACTAGAACTGAACTAGAACTGAACTAGAACTGAACTAGAACTGAACTAGAACTGAACTAGAACTGAACTAGAACTGAACTAGAACTGAACTAGAACTGAACTAGAACTGAACAAGAACTAGAACTGACTTAGGACTGAACTAGATCTGAACAAGAACTGAACTAGATCTGAACTAGAACTGAACTAGAACTGAACTAGAACTGAACTAGAACTGAACTAGAACTGAACTAGAACTGAACTAGAACTGAACTAGAACTGAACTAGAACTGAACTAGAACTGAACTAGAACTGAACTAGAACTGAACTAGAACTGAACTAGAACTGAACTAGAACTGAACTAGAACTGAACTAGAAGTGAACTAGAACTGAACTAGAACTGAACTAGAACTGAACTAGAACTGAACCAGAACTGAACTAGAACTGAACTAGAACTGAACTAGAACTGAACTAGAACTGAACTAGAACTTAACCAGAACTGAACTAGAACTTAACCAGAACTGATCTATCACTAAACTAGACCCGAACTGGATCTGAACTAGAACTGACCTAGAACTGAACTAGAACTGAACTAGAACTGAACTAGAACTGAACTAGAACTGAACTAGAACTGAACTAGAACTAAACTAGAACTGAACTAGAACTGCACTAGAACTGAACTAGAACTGAACTAGAACTGAACTGGAACTGAACTAAAACTGAACTAAAACTGAACTAGAACTGAACTAGAACTGCACTAGAACTGAACTAGAACTGAACTGGAAGTGTACTTGAACTGAACTGGACTAGAACTGATCTAGCACTAAACTAGACTTGAACTAGAACTGAACAGGAACTGCACTAGAACTGAAGTATAACTTAACTAGAACTGAACTAGAGCTAAACTAGAACTGAACTATACTAGTACTGGACTCGAACTGAACTAGAACTGAAGTAGAACTGAAGTAGAACTGAACTAGAACTGAACTAGAACTGAACTAGAACTGAAATAGAACTGAACTAGAACTGCGACTGGAACCGAACTAGATTTAATACCTTGTTTTCAATTAAATTTTTCTACCATCCACCATTTTGAGAGCACTCACTTGGCTTGGATCATATGTTGTTTAGATATAATTTTATTAAACTTTGTTTAACAAAATTTTTTCGTTACGAACATATTTATTTAATCCTTACTTTCTAATAACATTTAATACATCAAATTATATTTAGCAATAGTATTTATTCTCCATTTATTTTTTTTTTTCTCTTTTCTTTCTATTTACAGAACCCGATATTGGCATGCCACAGCATGAAGCACAACGTTATTTCACACAATTACTATCGGGATTGCAGTATTTGCATCAACGTGGCATTGCACATCGTGACTTGAAGCCAGAAAATTTACTATTGGATGAACATGATAATATAAAAATATCCGATTTTGGAATGGCAACCATGTTTAGGTATTTAGGTACACAACTTATTACAAAAAAAAAAAAAAATGAGAAAAAAAAAACTAATAACAAAATGAAATTTATAAAAAGCAATAATAAAGTAGCACGTACTCTTGCAATATTATTAGTATTATTGTATTTTATACAAGAATTTAAAATTTAAAACATTAATTTAATAAGAACTTTATATTGTTTTGGAAAATGTAGCCAATTATAATGAAATTTAAATGTATGTAATGAAATTGTATAAAAAAAGCTATGTATACAATATTCTTAACCCAAATTCTTGGTAATTTAATTTAAAAATTGGAAATTTTTATGATTTAAACATTCATCCAATTCACCATCTGCATAAGTTTTCTATTGTTTTAGTTTTTTTTCATGTATTTACAAACTTTAAATCAATTTTATTAAACAAAATTTTGAAAACCTGCCATTTTATTAAATTGTTAATTGAAACCTTTAAAGTTTTTAAACTAAATTATTTTTTTAAATAAAATTAACTTTACAGTAGAATT